CTCCTGCTCCTCCTCCTCCTCAGCCGAAGCATCAAACTGTTTTTATTGTTCGTCTCTGAAAGCAGCTGAAATGTTCTTGAAGCGCAGCTCGAACAGAACCTGACCCAAACATCTGCAGCTTATTTAGTTCAGGAAGGAAACCTGAGGAGGTTCAAGCTGCTCCCAGTTTATCATCAGCTGCAGGAACCAGAACCAGAACCAGAACCAGACTAAAGTTTGTTTTGCTGCTACATTTATTAACAGTAAAAAACTGAATCATTTCTCTAACAAGTTTTCAGCGACACAAACTTCAGGATTTCTTCTTTATAAATAAAACTAAAAATAAATTAAATATTTTATTTCTTCTCCTTAATTAAAAATGTAAACAAACACCTGCTGAAGTTCTCTTCAAGCARCAGCTTTGTTTTTTTGCTGCTTCATCCAGTTTTTGTTCTGTTTGATAATTGATATAAAATAAATGTTTTTTAATGTTCAGTTTTCTTTTCCACCAGTATTTATTTAAAGTAAACTGTGTTCAGGAGGAAAATGAACCTGATGAGTTTTTCTGTGTTTTTCTTCAGGAAGCAGCTGATGAGAGAAGCTCTGAGCTCAGAGATGAAGTTGCTCCAGTCCCAGCCTCCTCCTCCTCCTCTTCATCAGAGGATGAAGATGGAGCTGCACAGGTAAACAGTGACACACCTGAGGAACCGTTTGGCTTTAGAACTCTAAAGATGTTTTGTTTTCCAGCTGCAGAGATCCGTTCGGGTCGAGTTCGTCGCCTCCGAGCCGACAGCCGAGGAAACAACCAAGATTGAAGCCCCGCCCCCTGCAGATACCATCAGAGCCCCGCCCCCTGCAGGTACCATCAGAACCGGGTCTGTTCTGTTTGTCGACACTCAGCGAGGCTGACTTTGGTTAGCTTCAAATGAAAACGTTTCACGACTCTGTAAAAACATCAGATTCTGATTTAAAGACGTCTCGTCGCCTCAAAGACTTTTATTTTATTAAAACTTGATGAGAAACAGAAACAGTTGGTTCTGTTTCTATTTTATCCAGAGACTCAGATAATAAGATACTTTAATTTGTTTTATATATTTTTCACTTTTGACCTTTTAATTTATGTTATTTTTACTGTTTCAGACGTGGAAACGTTAGAGGAGGAAACATCTGCAGGAACGATGGACGTCTGTTGGACGGAGCAGAGGACAGAAGAGACGAAACCTGAGGACCAAACTGACGATGTCGTCCTCATCGGTACAGAACTCAAACCTTTCTCATAAAACTGTTTGATTTGGACTTCAGCGTTTAGTTCTCGTTACTTTCTTGTCTAGACGAGGAAGAGCAAGAAGACCTCTTCATCGCCAGAGGATTGTCTCAGCAGGAAACAGGAAGTCCACAGCCTGAGGAGCCCAGAACCCAGGAGGAAGAGGAGGGTGAGGCTCCTCTGAGCAGCAAGAAGAAGAAAAAGAAGAAAAGAAAGAGAGCGAGAGAAGAGGAGGAAGCTGCAGTCGCCCCATCAGAGCCGCTGGAGGAAGAGGAGCCAGCAGGAGGCGACAGAGTCGGTGAGGAACATAGACTTAAATATAGATCACTAGACTAAGCCCCGCCCATCCCGTCCACTGGTAGACTCTGTGACATCATGGAGGAGCAAAAATGGCGTCTAAAAGGACAACAGCTCACATCCTCCATAGAAA